CTCGTTTAGGGTTTACCTGGACTCCAAATAATCTACCTCCTTGGGTTCCCTGATAATAATTCTTTATATAAGTCCTTAGAAAGGTAGGTTATTTGGGGTTAAGGTAGGGTTTAGGCTTAAGGGCCCTAAAACCTTAAAATCCTGAAGCCCTAAAATCCTGAAAGCGTAAAGCCCTAAACCCCAAAAAGCCTAAAGCCCTAGAACTTCAACCCTCCCCTCTTGGCACAGTGGCAGCGAACCCTGCGAGCCCCCCCCCCCTCCAGAAGCCCGAACTCGCGATCCTCTTCAGCCAAAACCTCCCTTTCAAGGACTCATACAGTGGACTGATATAAATCCTGCATTACCTTAAGGACCCTGAACTATGGGAATTATGGTATATTCCTTATTATGGGTAATGCAGGGTTTATATCATCAACCGTATCAGGAGTTCATAACAAGGAACCGGGCCCTTGAAGGGTCTCTAATGTGAGAGGGCTGCATGAGGGACTACTATATGGGCTTGCTTGAGGGGCTCATAATATAGGCGCCTTAACAATTAGAACTGATTTTGGTGCATACTATATATAGTACACACACTGATGTTAGGAAACCCCAAAGAACACGATGTTCGATTATTCCGACTCCTACTTTAATCTGAACCCTGCGAGCCCCCTACCCTAAACCCTAAACCGAAAAGCCCCAAAGCCAAAAGCCCTAAACCCCAAAGCCCTTACTAAAGCCAAAAGCCCTCAACCCAAAACCCCTAAACCCAAAACCCCTAAACCCAAAACCCCTAAACCCAAAAAAGCCCTCAACCCAAAACCCCTAAACCCAAAAGCCCTAAACCCCAAAAAGCCCTAAACCCAAAACCCCTAAACCCAAAACTCCTAAACCCCCTAAAGCCCTAAACCCCCCTAAAACCCTTCGAGCCCTGGGGCCCGCGCTTCAGATCCGGCTTCCAATCTGCTGCCACTGGATAGGCCAAGGTGCGTCCTTCCGTGTCTTTCTTTGTTTTCTTTAAAGGGTTTAGGGCTTATAGGGTTTAGGGTTTCTTTTCTTTAAAACGGTTTAGGGTTTATCGGGTTTAGGAACCTTTCTTTCTTTTCTTTAAAGGGTTTAGGGTTTAGGGTTCTTTCTGCCCTTTGACACCTGCAGAAGAGTTTGAAATCCTTACCAGGATGAGCCTTCCGTGTTTTGGGGCTTAGGGTTTTACCAAGGCTGGCTGTGCAATGCTGTTCTTTTGTGATTACCTTATAGAACTCTAAATATGAAACCCAAAAAGGCAATACTATGGAGCCTCTGGGTAAGTTGACATCGTATAAAATAGGGATGTATGGTATACACTATGACTTTTTGCTATGTATTTTGAACTAAACTCCTTTCGGGCTCAGGTTTAACTACGTGCCCCCGCTGCCACCCCAACACCGAACAAACGGCTGAAGCCCCCCCACACCGCTCTAAACGGTCCCTTGAGCTGCCATGTAAGAGTTCCTTCAAGGGCTCTTTTGAGGAGTTCGCTGAGCAGGTTCAACCTGTGTCCTATAACCCTGGAACCCAGAGACTCCAATATCCCTTGATTAAGGAATACTCCTTAAATCATATTAGGGATCCTACTATATTTTAAGGCATATTCCTTAATCAAGGGGTATTGGAGTCTCTGGGAAGCCCAAACCTCATGCTCCCGAGGCCACACGTTCTGAAAAGTTCTTTTCATGGGCTGAAAGCGTTTAGGGTTCAGGGTTTAGTTTAGGGTTTAGGGTTCAGGGTTTAGTTTAGGGTTTCGGTTTCAGGGTTTAGTTTAGGGTTTAGGGTTCAGGGTTTAGTTTAGGGTTTCGGGTTCAGGGTTTAGTTTAGGGTTTAGAGGTGTACCCTAAAGCCTTAAGCCCCGATCTACAAAGGAAGAGAGAGGATCCTTCGGAATGTCTGTCATAGCCAGACCTTCCAGAATCCCTCAATTAAGGAATATGCCTTAAACCATACTACGGATCCTTAGTTCTTTGATTCAGTTTATATTCCTTAGTTAAGGTATTTTGGATGGTCTGGGTACTACAGCCTCCGCAATACCTCCTGCTATGCTGCTCGGGTCTCGTTTGCATGCACGGCGATAGTGTGAATCTGAAACCTTAGCTCTAAACCTTCACCTCAAACTGCCTTGCACCATGAACACGAAACCTTCTAATACCAAACACAAAAACTTCACAACCCTCGTCTAGATGTCAAGGTTTGGTAAACCTCTACCCCAGGTTTAGGGTTTAGGGTTTAGGGTTTAGGGTTATATGTGCACCCGAAGCCCCAAAATCCAGAAGAAACAGCCAAACAGCCCTAAACGTTGCAAACGACACCATCCCAGACCCCCGGGGGCGGATCCAAAAAGTAGATCCCTCAATGGGGGGTTCCTATAAAGCACCCTTAGTAGTATAGGGCCCCAAATTAGGCGATCTACTTTCTAGATCCTCCCGGGGGTCGGGGGGCTGGGATCATAGAAACCCTACACCCCCGAATCCTATGACCCTAGAGCCCTAAGGCTCTTATGGTATCCCTTAATGTAGCCCTGAAAAGTTTCAATCCTGCACCCTTAAGGACACAGACCTTAATTCCGGAATTAAGGAAGATACCAGGTATGTTCTAAATTAAGGGAGTTTGGGAGGTCTGAGCAAGGCGGGCCACCTTTCACCACCGGTGTTCCGCTCGAAGCCATGATTTCGGCTGCCTCGCTCGGGGTTTAGCGTTGAAGGTTCAGGTTTAGGGTTAAGGGATTAAGGTTAGGGCTAGGGTTGAAACTTTAAGGTCTAGGCCCTAGGGCATAGGGTTTATGGCTCATAGGCTTTAGGGTTTAAGGTTTTTAGGGTTTCAGGTTTAGGGTTTAGGGAAGCCCCCAAGGTTGGGTTGTGAAGAGATCTATTTGGGAGTTTCCGAGAATAGGGGACCCTAACATGGTACCCCAAATAATAGGATCCGTATTACAAGGACCCCAAAACAACGTACCCCTAATTTTCGGAAACTCCCATTTGGGGGCTGTGTCTCTTTTTTCCGCCCGTTTAGGGTTTGTAGCGCTTCTAGCATTGATGCGGCTTACAGGGTTTATAGGGGTCCTGCTTACAACTGGGCGTTTCCGAAAATAGGGACCCTAGTATAGTACCCTAAATAGTAGGATACTGATTAGAAGGACCTCAAAATAACTTACACCTAATTTTCGGAAACTCTAAACCCTAAACCCTTTATTAGAACCCTTCTAGATACCTTTAAAGGAGCCCTTATGGATCCCTTTAAAGGTACCCCTAATTTTCGGACACTCCCATCTCGTGTGCAACGTAGCTACGCCTTCTGTCGTCGGCCTGATTTGCCTCGTCTTGTGCTCTACACCTGGCGGCTTTGTCTCGACCACCTAAACCCTACCTTAACCTACCAAAACCTACTTGTTTGTAGGGTCCCTATAAGTTCCATATTAGGGCTTATAATAAGAACCTACAAAAAGTAGGGTTTGGTAGTTTAAGGTATGAGCCCACACAATATACGGATCTTAACTCAGCAAATAGAATAAAGCTTCGGGTATATTATACTATAAATGTCATAAGGAGCCTTATGGCATAGTCGGTACTTATTGAAAACCAAGTGACCTGTTGGGTCCTCGGTGCCTGTCGGAAACCCTAAAGGCCCTAAAGGCGTACATACACCCAAACGCCATCCCTACGACCGAGTCGTGTCTGTAGCTCCCCAAAAAAGGTTAGGGTTTTTGGGTTTAGGGTTTGGGTTTGGCGACTTTTGCTTTAGGTTCGGGTTATAAAGAAGTTTGGTATGCATGTTCGCAGGATTTTGTGTCTATATGCTACGCCGACCATGCAGCAAAGGCACGAGGTTGTGGCGGACCAGAGAACGGGCGCCAGGCCGGAAGACAGCTACGAAATGCACGTGCGGGGCTGGGGCTAAAGACCCTGATGCTGTTCACATCGCACAGTTGGTGCACATGTTTAAACTCGAAATGTGCGTGTTTGCCGAAACGTCTCCCCAGGCAACCACGGCTACAGCATCAACGTTTCGTCGCTGGAAAATACTTCGGGTCGACTTTCTGAACCCTCAACCCTATATCCAACTACGCACTGCAATCCTGAACCCTCACGGCAATGAAGCTTGCTCTGCCACACTGGCCAGCCATCATAACAGGTGCGGCGCCGAACAACTTGCAGGTATGCTTCGCTCAAATGGGGTTCGGGGTGTACGGTAGAGGTTTGACCTGCCTGGAAAAACAGAGATCCGGTTTTAAGGTTGTGATGCGGCGTCTTCAGGTCTTGTCTAAGTCTAAGTTGAGAGGGTTGTCTAGCGCTTGAACATTATTTAACAGTTTCTTGAGCTGCTGTATACCGAATCCCGGGTTGTACGGGAACAGCAGTAGCATACCTCTACAGGTTCGTGCACATGCGTACTATATTAATGCCGATGTATACACGAGATAGGTACAAGGACCCTTGTACCATACACCCCAAATCTCATGGCACACTTTGAGAACCATAGTCAAACCCGCAAAGTCCTCGGGGAAAATTATAGGTACATACATGGATCCAGAGACTGCTTAATAGCCCTGCTGCTTATGAGCTTCATGTGCTCAAGCCTTCTCAGCCCTCAAGCCTAAAAGCCTAGCCCGCCAAAAGGCCAAACCTGAATAACAAGACTCCAAACCTAAAGCCTTATACCCCAAATCCTAAACGCAAACCCTCAACCCATGGCAAAGCTGAGCATTAGCGGCGAGTCCTTTTTGAATTCCTGAACAGATCAGACTTGCTCCTCGCTTGGAGGCTCATGGGTAGTTCTTCGTCGGGCGTAATTCCCAAGAAAGTTTTGTGTCTCTGGAAACCGCTATTTCCCAAAGAGCTCAATACTACTTAAAAACTGAATGAACCTTAAACCATAAGGGACCTGATATGAACCTAAACCGGCCTAAACCCTAAACCAACCTAATTTGTAGCTACCCTGCCTGATGATACTACCCATGAGACTCTAGCTCAAGGCGGACCTGCCAATTCTACTCAAAGCTCCATTCCCTCCGTCGTACTCCTTCTGCACAGGCCTGTAATCTTGGTTCCCTGGATGGGCAGTTGCAGTATAGACGAACCTCGCTTCTCCTTTGTCCAGGGGATGCAGCCACTGAGCTCAGTGTTCCCTTCGAAGTTCGTGTAGCGTAAGCTTGGAGCATCGAAAAGCACAGCCGGCACCCTTCCTGAGAAGTTATTGCGCTGCACTCTGAGAGCGGTGAGGTTTTGCAGTTTTGATAGGGCTGCTCCGGGCAAAGGTCCTGAGAGCTCGTTCAACTGAAGGTCAAGGCTGCGCAGTCTCGGCCAAGCCTCTGCTAAAGCATCTGGGAATGAGCCGTGCAGGAAGTTTGCATCGACCCAGAACCGCTCTATCCTGGGCTTTTAAGTAACCAAGGAGAAACAAGTATGAACTTTTATTTCACAATGGCTCCTTTTAGAGAAAAAGTATTAAAGTATGAATACTCCAAAGCCGAGTATCTTATGCCAAAACCACCAGGGTGCCCTTGGATGATCCAATCTGGCTACCCAAGCCTCCCAGGGGCATTGCCACGCCCAAGCATCTTCCTCTGAGGAATCTATGGGCGCCCCCTTATCCCACGAAGGCCTCGCACGACACTTCGTCAAGAAGGATGGAGACGTCCTATTCCAAGGAGCAAGGCGGTTGCAACTTCGGTCCACCCCCTGCGAGAAGCCGACGAAGTTCACAAGCGTCTCACCCAAAGATGACAGAGCCGGTGGAAGAGCAGAATCGTCCCTAAACTGCAATCCTCGAACTTCCAGTTCGATCAAAGGTAGCTGACCCAAACATGCAGGCAACCGACTGATATGTCCGCCCAATTCCAAGCGCCTGAGCTTCTTCAGCAAGCAAATAGATTCGAGGAGCTCATCTGGTGCCTCGCCAACGCCTGGAAATGAAGAAACCCTTAATTTCAACCCGAATAAAGACAATAGCAAGATCATCAACGGTAGTAGCTACAGTAGGTAGCCGTAAATTTAGTTATATCGTCGTCTTCGTCGTCGTCGTCGTGGTGGTGCTGGTGGTGGTGGTGGAGGTGATGGCGCTGAGCATGCAAATCACACTAAGATAGCTGATCACCTTTAGTCATACCCAAGAACAGCCTTGGCTAACATCACGGTACAAAGCATGACGACTTGCAGGAGCCTCAATATGACCCACCCCTGAACCCTAACACCACCATACACTGCTTGAGACCTCATAGTTAGCCCTGTTCAACTCCTTTAAACCCTACCCTAAGGGTCCAAGTGCTCCCTCTCATAAGACATTTGGGCCGGTTTAGGTACAAAAAACCACAAATAAGGACTACTTGGACCTTTAGTGGCATGAACATCTTTTAGACCGCTATGCACTCCACTAACCCTTTTAGTACCCTGAACGTACCCTTATAGAAGCCCTTATAGATCCCTTTAAGGAACCCTTAAAAAAATGGCCCATAACAAAACCCAAAACCCCGCAACCCTGTAAAGCCCCTATGCGGTCTCTTACTCAGAATCCCTACTCTAGGGGCCCAAAGAATTACCATTGCTAGTCTTAGGGTTCCTTATTGTAATGTGCCCCAAATCCCCAGAGCCTCCAAAACCCCGTAATTAAGGAATATACCTTGAATCATATAAGGGATCCTATTATAATTTAAGGTATATTCCTTAATTAAGGGGTTTTGGAGGCTCTGGGTCCCTCCACCTGGCCAGTCGTCCCAAGTGAGGGTGATACCCAGTAGCGTGTCCTGCCAGCCTTTGAGGAGCGTCGTCACCTTCCCAGACCCTCCAAAATCCCTTAATTAAGGAGTATACCTTAAATTAGTAGGGTCCCCAATATGATTTAAGGTATCTTCCTTAATTCAGGAATTGTGGAAGGTCTGGGTTGCAGGACGTCAAAAAGCTGGTTCAGGTTTTTGAGTTTAGGTAGGGGCACTTTTTAAAGGTTCATTAAAGGGATCTATAAGGGTACTTTCAAGGTACTATAAGGGTTTCGGGATTACCTAAAACCCTGAATCCCAAGCCCTAAAACTCTAAATACAGGGTCTAGGGCTTCTTCACGGGCACTCATAGGATTTAGGGTAGAGAACTTAGGGCTTCGGTGGCCCGAAAGACGGGATGACGGTTTAGGGTTTTGGGTTTAGGGTTTAGGGTTTAGGGTTTAGGACAGACGGATGGCTGGCCTTCTATTTCCCTTCCGGAACCTTAGGTAAGAGCACCATGTGCTGTAGGTTTAAGGTGTAGGGTTTAGGGGTATGAAGCCTGCCGAGTCACATTCCCAATACTTCGCAACGATCTTCCAAGGCTGCACTGCAACACTTTGATGGCAGGGAATACCCGAAGCCAAAACGACGGGTTTCCTGGGTGTGTGGTAGGATGCCATGTAACAAGTGTCAACTCTACATGACGACCCTGTACTACCATGTTCAGAAAAGAAAACATGCTCAAGAACGGCCTAGCTTCTGAAAGCCCCAACACCCTCCAGACCCAAATACTCCACGCCAGTTGCTGCAACTGTGGACAAGGCTTCCGATTCCGGCCAGTCGAAGCGCTTCGAACGCAGCTCCAATGCTGCAAGTTGACCATGCGCCCGGGACGTCGGAGAACATGCGACGAACTGGCAGGTACAAGCTTGATTAAGTTGACATCGCCGTATGGCAGGATACAGGCGGGTGGGGCCGACGATGCCAAGGATTGTGGCCATGAGCTCCTTGGTTCTCCATCGTAAGGGCACCCTTTAGTTTACCACGGACACCCCCAACATCGAAATTCCTAAAACCCTCTACAGCCCTGATAGCAGACTACGAAGGCAAGAGGGTAATCTAGGGGCCTTAATAATTGGAATAGGGTTTTGGGGCCCATTATACCACAATTAGACTAAGGAACCACCAAAATCGTATTCGTAATTAGTTGGGCCCCTACCTTATGCAGCCCTTATAGTATCCCTTGTAGTAGCCCAAATAGACCGCTATAAAGGAACTCCATAGTAAGGAAAGTGGTACCGCTGGAAGACCAGACATCTTCTTCACTTCTCGGCAAGAGCAGCGAAGCAAAAGCCACCTTTCGGAGCCAGTAAGTGCCCGTGACGGCAGCATAAAGCTCATGGCCACCGTATCTGTTTGGGGTTCACGGCTTAAGATTTAGGCTTAGGGTTTAGGGCTTGGGGTTTGGGGTTGAAGCTTTAGGGTTTAAGCTTATAGCGCTTCTGACGAAGAAAGAAATAGGTTTCCCTGTGCTCCAGCTGCCAAAGGCGAAATGGATGCTTACCATTGGCCCTAGACCCTACCTTGACCCCATCCTTTTCGGGACTTGTATAAGGCAATGTTCATGAGGAGCGGCCAAAACTGGTTCTTGCTGTTCAGGTAAACCCCATCGACTCTTAAACTTAAAACTTAAACCCCCAAACCCTAGACCCCAAAACCCTAAACCCTACTTAAGCCAAGATACTGGCTCATGATTGCCTCCTTTTGGCGGCCATGATCCACAACGGCTGCCAGCTGCTGTAAACGCTTCTTCCACGTGACTTTTTTGCGGACCTTACCGTCCTGTCCCGGCCTCTCGGATTTAGGGGTCATAGGGTGTAGGGTTTAGGTTTTACACACTTAGGCTTAGGGGTTTTGGGGTTCAGGCCTTCGGGCTTGAGTTTCTAGGGTTTAATTTAGGCTTTGGGCTTTCGGGGGTATAAGGTTTATTTAAGCTTAGGGTTCAGGGTGCTGGCCTGTCTGACATGAATTGGCTCCAAGACGACAGCATGTAGCGCATCAGCTCAGAGTAGCCAGTGTCGGCGAATTCATCCGGGAGTGACGGGCGAATTGTGGACTTCCTCTTCAAGCGAACCAGCTCATCATCTCCATAAATCTTGGCTGACTTCTGAACCCCTCCTAAAAGTTAAACTTTTAGCCTCCTTATGATGGTCCATATAGAAACCCACAAAGTTAAAGTCTAAAGGGCCAACATAAGAACGCCAAGAAACAGTCTCTTCCCCATGTAGAGCCACTCTGACCTCACGCTCTTCGTGCTCAGGTGGAGGTCGGCAGTCTGCTTGTATGGACAGGGTCACGAAAGCTCGTGTTGCCAACACCACAGTGCCGAGAATGGTTTGTGCTGTGGTCCCGATGCAAGACGACATAGCAGCATGCATTTCGCTGAGGTTTGAGCCCCAATATGATAGGATTGTTCCGGAGCAGTATTCTCTCGCGAGCTCATACTAGCGACATAATCAGTGTCACGGCGCAGTATAGCATAGTTGTAATATCAGCACTGCAACACTAAAAAAACTCGATTGAGGAGGGTTCTGCGGACGCCCTAAACATTACAATGCTGACCAATGCGCTGCAGCCATGATCTTTGTTTTCGGGCGTTCGTCTCGAAGATGCTTTCTGTGTTGAATGTTTGGTGGTTGGGAGAATGTCGTGCTTCGGTTGAATGAAGGTTCATTCATGGATCAGCTGTCGATTGGCGGCCTTTTCTTCCGTTTGAGATCGCATCGCTGCACAGCCAGCCCTGCGATGTTGCCAGTGCTTCCGGCTCTGGCATCCACCCTTTGAAACTTTGGTTTCAGGCGCTGTTGGCAGTCGCTTTCACATCCGCAGCGTCGGAGTTGCTTGTTCTCGGTTCCCCTGACTGAGCCCCACTCTTCATCGCAGCATCCAGGTCCGGATCAGACCTTCCGCTTTCGGCACGCCATTCGACCCAACATCTCGCCGCACCGTTCCAATGCTTCGGACTCTTCATCGCAGTGTCTCAATCCGTGGGGTTGAGACCTTCCAATGGTATCGCCTCGCCGGTAAGTTGAGACGAGGGCTCCAAGTGCCCGCGGCTCAGGGGGCACAGCTGGCTTTCTCCATGTGAGGCGATCGCAGAAGCTTTGAAGACGAACAGGACACTCACCCATATCGGATGTGGATGAGTGCCTTTTCCTCTTCAAACCCTGCGACCGCCTCGCACAGGAGGCCGTTGAACCGGAGATTGCCATGTGCAAGGGTTCTGTTAGCCTGGCCCCGAAAAAATCTGTTCCTTCAACAAGGAACCCCGAAAAATAGTATAGGCAACTCCCTAAACCCTAAACCTTAAAGAGCTTGGGGGTTTCAGGCCTTCGCGTTTAGGGTTGAACGCTCGCTTTCTCGTTGATCAAGGCACTCGCAAGAGATTTGAGTCGAGGCTGTCCACTCTGCAACTTGAACCAGGTTTAGGACTTCGGGCTGTAGGGTTTAGGAATCCGGGCTTTAGGGTTTAGGACTTCGGGCCTTAGGGTTTAGGAATTCGGGTTTTGGGGTTTAGGACTTCGGGCTTTAGGGTTTAGGACTTCGGGCTTTAGGGTTTAGGACCTCGGGCTTTAGGGTTTAGGACCTCGGGCTTTAGGGTTTAGGACTTGGGGCTTTAGGGTTAAGGGTTTAAGAATTCGGGATTTAGGGTGTAGGACTTCGGGCTTTAGGGTTTAGGACCTAGGGCTTTAGGGTTTAGGACTTCGGGCTTTGAGGTTTAGGACTTATGGCTCTAGGGTTTAGGAGTTAGGGCTGTAGGGTTCAGAGATTCAGATGAGACGGTCCCAAACTTTGGAATGCGAGTTCCAGAAAAGCGATGGTCACTACAGACCCCAAGTAATGAGGCCGGAGCTATGCAAGGTACCACTGTCGCTTACAAGCAAAACCCAAATCATGTCGGCCGCTGCACCCACTGCGCCAGAGACTCCAAAACCCCTTAATTAAGGAATATACCTTAAATCATATTAGGGATCCTACTATAATTTAAGGAATATACCTTAAATCATATTGGGGAACCTTCTATAATTTAAGGAATATTCCTTAACTAAGGGGTTTTGCATGCTCTGGGGCCCCTTCAACCTCAAGGATGCACGACAAAAACGAGCTACATTGTGCACGAGAGGCATAGGGCGCGGGGCTTCATGTAGGAGGGTTTCCGAAACTAGGGGTACCATATGTTGGGACCCTTATATTAAGGATCCTACTATTTAGGGTACTATATTAGGGTCCCCTGTTTTCGGAAACTCCCATGTAGGAGGGTTTGGCGATTTGGCTTGGGAGTTCTGTAGCCCCCCCCCGCAAAAAAACAAAGTACAGGAACGCAGCTGCCGGTAGTCACTTTGATCAAAATTGGGAGAACTTGCGTCGGAACAACTCCCCCAAACCCCCCACCCTGCACTTAACCCCACATAACCTACCTTTTTTAAGGACTTATATAAGGAAATCACATTAAGGAAACTTGAAAAGGTACCCTGTACCCTGAACCCTAAGATGGGTTTCATAGGGTCCCCTAAACCCTAAACCGGTCCTAAACCACACGTCTTATGCAAAGGCTATCCGCCGCCGAGCGCAGTCTGGTGATTCTGCCTGCCCAGAGCCTCCAAAACCCTTTAATTAAGGAATATACCTTAAATTATAGTAGGATCCCTCATATGATTTAAGGAATATTCCTTAATTAAGGGATATTGGAGTCTCTGCCTGTCATCTCTGCCGTTCTCCTACTAAACTATATAAAAAGGCATCCAACAGGGGCCTTAACATGTAGAATAAGCTGTTTTAGCAATCTTATGGTACAAATTCATACAGGGACGGTAAGGGAATGCCTTTCGATTCTTGTACTTCATATGCTTACTTTACTCAATATCAATACTAGTTGTTCTTCTTCTGCTTCTTAGTCCGACCTCTATAGTATGCCTACTTGTCGGGTATCATGGGGGACGGCAGGTTGACATTTTTGGTGATATAGAACGGTTTAGGGTTTAGGGTTTAGGGTTTAGGGTTTAGGGTTTAGGGTTTAGGGTTTAGGGTTTAGGGTTTAGAGACTATATAGGGACTATACTACCCAAAAAAGGTCAACGGTTGCCTACTCTACTACCAGGCAACAGCTACAATTAGGTTAAACTGTACTGGAAATTAGTTCAGCCCCTATATTCTAGTATGTGAAGATTCAGCTTTAGGCTCAGCTGTGAAACGGGCTTGGCCTTCGCAAACAAAGCCGCCAAGGTTGCAGAAGAGAAAACCTGCTCCACCCGCAACCCCGAACACCCAAACGCCGTGTTTCAGCCTTGGTTTCGGCAATCGGCATTGGAAGTTTCGGGCATTCTGAAACAAATAGCGAGTGAAACCCTCGAAACCAAAGTTGAAAGCTGGTAGTCTCAAAAATTAAACAAAAAGGAACTACTCTGGAGCCCCTGGGCAGGGTTAGGTTTCATAAGGATAAGATAAATTCTCCACGCCTTGCAACTTTGGTGCTGCTGGAAACGACGACTAGCCAGGCTCAGAGCGAACGATGCGCGCTGCTCCTCAGGCTTAGGGCTTAGAACTGAAGCTTGGGCTGTAGGGTTTAGACTTGAAGCTTTGGGGTCTAAGGTTTGGACGCCGTTTCTGGTTCGTGGTTTAGGCTTGAAACTCTGGGGTCTAGGGTTTAGGGTTAAGACGCCGTGTCTGGTTCGTGGTTGCGAGAAGGGGATCTGTCGAGCTCTTCTGGGGCTTTATACGGACTGAGAAGCGTGAAGATCCTCCCTGAAATACTGTGATAGACGAGGGTTTGGGGGGGCAGGTAATAAAAATGCCCTTTGTTAGGGTTCCTTTAAAGGGGTCTATAAGGGTTATACTATAAGGGATCTATAAGGGTACTATACTAATGTAGGTACCTGATAAAGAAACTTTGGGCCTTTGATGTTAGGGCTCCTTATATGAATCCTACTAATTATTTGGGGTTATAGGCCCAGGGCTTCTTAATCAGGTTCCTACATTACTCTTATCGGGCTGCATTGGGATATCAAGGAATAGCTACTTCGTCAAGTCTCTGGATCTAAAACCTGGTGTTCGGGTTTACAGGGCGCAGAGGGCGGTTTGGGACGCTCATGGGGTGCTACGCATGATCCATGGGAAATTCCACTGTAAGGCTGCAGGGCTCAAGGTTTTTGAGTTTACTTTGAGCCCTTGATGAGAGGCTTAAATCAAGGTTCAGGGCTTAGGATGGTTTAGGGCTTAAGGGCTAGGCTGATTCGGTGGTTGTGGGGAACAAGGATACCTCATGACAAACATAGTTGGAGTCCGGTATTTAAGGCCGGCCTGTAGTAAGGTCCGCCCAGACCAAAGAGAGCCATTCAGACTTTGGGCTTCGAGGCATACAGGTCTAAGGAATGCAACCTTCGGATTGCAAATCCTTCTAAAATCCTTCTCCATCCGACGCCGACGAACTCATTCAATTCCGTTTTCCTAGAACCTAACCCCCAAACACAAACGATCGTGAACCCAACGTCTTGTACCGACAGGCTTTGTTTGAGAATCCCCCAAACTCTGAAACTTTGAGAACCCACTTAGAGGCCCAGGGGACTTGGCAAGTATCTTATCAGTAGCGTTATAAGTGCCCCAAATGGAGTATAGGGAACGAAAACGAACCGAATGTCTTACAGCGTACCATCCTACATCCAGCATATTTGCATTCCCGCTCAGGCCCGAGCGTCTCTTGTCGCCGGCATCACCCAGCAGCGCCTCCGACTGAGCAAAATCTGCAAATGTCCCCTGTCGAAAAATACAGCTACTGCTGCTATACTGCTAAGCGACTATCGGAATCGCATTCGTGACGCCGGGTTTTCCCTACTGCCATGCTGTAAGGGCTTAAAGCCGAGTCTTAAGCTCGTCATCTACTGGGGTCGTCCGTGTGCTTTGCTTGCGCCGTGCTCGTGCTGCCGCTGATGTCGGTTATTACATTTGCATCCACGTATCTACAAGACTCAAGAGTAACCTAGGAATACAAAGGGTGCCCTTTTCGAGTTAAAGGGGCGGGGGTTATGAGTGAACCTGAGCCTTTAAAAGGAAATGAGGGCCTACTCTGGGTCCTAGTCCAGTTGTATTAGGGGATACGTAATGCCGGATCAAGCCAATCAGTCGAGCGTGCGTTTCAAGTTTCATGACTGCGATACCCAGAGAACCCATTACCCAAAAATTTCGGGAACATACCTTAAATCGTAATATTAAGGCCTCTATGACTTAAGGTATATTCCTTAATTAAGGGGTATTGGGATCTCTGGGTAACTACGGCTTTAACGGGCTTCGGGGGACTGGGTATTTTGCTTTTGATGGACTCAAGCTGGACAAGCTGCAGTTTTCGCAACAAGCAAACCAGAAAACATGATCGTCATCCGGAAGCATATGCACCCGCTGTGAAACGAACAAAACCCTGAAAGGGATCCGCTGCAAAACGCCGGCTGCACAAATGAGCATGTAACAATATCATCATCATCATCATCCTCACCAGTACCCTACTGCTACTTCTACTGCTACTGCTGCGGCTGCTGCTACTACTACTACTACTCCTGCTGCTGCTACTACTATACTCCTACTCCTGCCACTGCTACTAAAAATACTACTACTACTACTACTACTACTACTACTACTACTACTACTACTACTACTACTACTACTACTACTACTACTACTACTACTACTTCTGCTACTACTACTACTACTACTACTACTACTACTACTACTACTACTACCACTACCACTACCACTATCACTGGCACTACCACTACCACTCCACTGCCACTACCACTCCCACTATCCAATGCCACTACCACTGCCACTGCCACTACCACTGCCACTACCACAACAACAACTAGTACTACTACTACTACTACTACTACTACTACTACTACTACTACCACCACTTGCTCCTACCACCACACCTGCTGCTGCTGCTGCTAGTACTGTTGCTACTGCTACTGCTAGTGCGACTGCTACCTCCACAACTATTGCTACTGCTGCTGATTGCTGCGCTGCTACCAGAGAACAATCTTAATGGACAAATTCAATAGTAACCTGCTAACTTCAGCAACTTGCCTGGTTTAAGCACAACCACTACGGTAATAACCATGGCACGAACAAGACTATTAACAAGAACATTAATAGTGTTGAAGCCTCATGACGGTAATGAGGCTCATGAGGACAGCAATGACAGTGAGCATCGATGGACAGAATCCTTAATGAACCCGCCAGCGGGACGTAACTTCAGTAGATAAGCGACATGGCAGCAACACCATGACAAACTCCGATAGTGTCAACACATCGGCCTCGACATCGTCTGTTGTGTGGTCCTGAAGATGTGAGTTTTAGGCCTTGAGTTCAGGCTTACAGGTTTGGGCGTCAGGGTGCTTGGGTGGAGGTTTTGGAGTCTGAATTTTTCAGGGCTCCAAGACGAGAGCCTAATATGGAAGCCTGAATTTACCAACACTATTCCTTGTCAGGGTTTCTTATTGCGGCAACGATACGAGAACAGTCCACAGGAGCGCAGACTACTCGATAAGGCCAACGCATAGTTCCCCTGAACCCGCTCAAGCTGCAGATTGCCGTCTCATGCTTCTCCAGGCTCCAGGCTGTTGTGACGAGGGTTTAGAGTTTAGGGGCTTGGGATGTAATTAAGGTACTTACTGTAGTTCGTATGCTGTGCTGTGCTATGTTAAGAGTTTAAGGATTTGGGGATTAGGGGTTTGGAGACTAGGCATGAAGGAGGGGAGCGATAGAGAGTCAGTCGCAGCTGGACGGGGTTGGCTGTTGCACATACGATGTGCAAATAGATAGGTAGATAGATAGATAGATACGACGATAGATGAATAGATAGGAAGATAAGCATGTATAGATACATATATCTATGTATATATGCGGGAGTTTTCGAACCTAGGGGACCCTTATATAGTACCCTTATATAGCACCCTAAATAGTAGTATCCTTATTTTAAGGACCCCAAAATAAGGCACCCCTAATTTTCGGAAACTCTCATGCATATCTTCTCAACCAAAGCACTTAAAGCTCCAATTACCCTAACCCTGGGGATCAACATAGCCCAAAAGCCTTGTATAGTATGGTCTTTGGGCCCAAAAGCCTTAATATATGAGTGCTTAGATCCCTAGGGTAGCCGAAAGTAACCCAACACCAGCCATGTCCCGAGCTGCCCGTGAACCTCTAAGTGCAGCACGGACCGTAGATAAAGTACCCCTAATTGTGACAACCCTCCAAATTAAGGTACCTTATTTTGGAGTCCTTATAAATAGGATCCTACTACTTAGGGTACTATATTAGGGTCCCTGTTTCGGAAACCCCCATCTATATGAACCTGCAACCGTAGGCAAGACGCATCCGAAAATCAGCCCCAGGGACCTTCCGAGCTGTGACTCCGTGTCCTAGCTTACACTGAAAGCAGAGAACTTGCTAAGGAGCCGGCAACCTGTTTCGGCAGCTCCGGTTCTTTGCCAAACCTTGCGTCCAACTGTGCTGGAAACTGCCATCATGATCATTCATGCAAAGTTGTCCGGTGAATTGAAAACTAACAGCGGCCGGATAGATGATGAAATGATTGATTCTGGGGCCCTTTAACACACTCCCCTCTTGAAGATGTTGGTTGGGGTTTCAGGTTGCGGACTGCGAGCAAACAGACATGCATAAATTTAAGTGCATCGGCTGACAGCCAAGGATGTCTAAATCGTTTTAAATCTAGACGCATGCAAGTCTCACCAACACAAGTTTGATGCTGATCACTCGCAAAGCAGCACGTGCAACCGTCAAAACGAACACATACTTTGGTATGGCCTTAGACGAAAGTGGGCATTTTCCTATGTGCTTAAGAGTATTCGGGGAAGTTATTGAAGTTTCGGCAAACCATCAAATTCGATTGGTTGACCCGTTGCGAAAAATATCGATATATGTCTATATATATATATAATAGGTACATACGGTGTAAATACGTGAGCACCTGAATACGTATACATTAATGTATATACTTGTATTCATATTTACATACATATATATACACACGTCAACATATGTATATATATATATATATATATCCAGATACCCAAATACCTGCAGCTATCAACCTATATGCCTATATTATATACATATATACACACACACATAACTATATACCTATGTTTCTGTGTATCTGTATATCTGCATATCTGTATAGCTTTATGTCTGTATATCTATGTATCTCTATATCTGTATACCCTCACATACATATTCATATATATATATATATATATATATATGTATATGTATATGTACATACATATACCTATATATGCCTAAATCTGCTTATCTACATACCTATCTATTTTCCTGTATATCCATATATCTATGTAACCGTATAACTGTCTGTGTATCTCTATGTCTGCATCTTTAAATACCTATGTATACACCTCCATGTTTATGGATCTTGGTACATATGCAGATACGTATATATATATATATATATATATATTGCTGTATTTCTGTATGTCTTTAGACCTGTGCAACTGTATACCTAGACATGTCACTGTGCAACTGTATACTTGAGCTGTTCACGTGTATGTATATGTATATGTATATGCATACGCATACGTATATGCATGTATGTATGTATGTACGTATATGCATATATATATATGTACATATGTATATATATATATATATATATATGTGTTGATGTTTCCTGCTCATGCATCATTATGTGCTTATATGTCCATATGTTTATGTGTTTAGTCGTTTATCTATTTTGATACTTTTATGACTATCCTAAGCCTCAGCAGAGGAGAGACCATGCAAGCTCTCATGCGAGATCCACTCAGGGCTTCAGCTTTGGCGGACATCCAAAAAAAACAAGTGAACAGGCTGCCGCTGCCCTGGTTCCTGACATCGCATCATTCTAATCTCACCCTTTGACACAACTGTTGGTCGTGAAAGCGAATTAAATACAGGGACATACCATAAACCATAAAACATTAAAATTAAAGCAGCGGCTACGAGAAGACACTGAAACACAACAGTACTTGTAAATGCAAGATGGTGCTACCACGACGACGACCGCACACGACCAGGACCACAGTGACCACCAAAATCGCCGGGACCGCTGCTATGTACTGGCGAGATTTCACGATTTCACACGAAGAATTTCGAGGAACCTAATTTGTGTGGTCGTGCTATACCACTTGAGGCGATTCGAACGTTCGAGGTCACCGGAAGCAGGATTCTTGGAGGTGGCAGCAGGAGTCACACCCCAAAAAAGACATGTGGCAAGAACACGACTTCCGGGCACGGAAACGCACAGGACAGAAACACGAGGATGCGGGAAAGAACGGAAAGCCCCGAAGAGCATCAGCCTTTCGAAAGTTTCGAAGCAACACCCCCAAAAAATGCGAGCACGACAGGCCGAATAATCTGATCCCTGCGGCAGGACTTTGGCATCTCGTATATTTCGAAAGCCAACATATGGTGGGACATGAGCACCAACATGCGCGGCTCCACAGAAGAGTCTCCAAAAAACACGCTGGTGGGGATTCAGGACCACGGCCAAACATGCTACCCGGCATGTACTGTGACCAAATCCCCTACTGGCAGGATTCAGGACCACGGCCAACATGTTCCCCCTGTTGTGCTCCAGGATTCAGAAACATGACAAAATGCGTCCCCCAACACTGTGGTGGGAGGCCAGAATGTATTCAAATTTGCCATGAAACCCGCTTTTGGGAGGACGTGGTCGGTCTAACTGCATAGTGGGGGATGAGGTCGCGAACAATGCACCGTGCCACAGCGGGAGTACACACTTTTTACGGGTGCACCTGCGGGCACGCCTCGCGGGAACACGGCAACCAAGACTCGTTGCTAACACCAGTGTAAGAACCACATACTTGTCATCGCACTGTTTGGGGAAAGGAAAGCACCCCGAGTTTCATATTATTATGCAAAAGGCATGCATATTGCAGTCGAATCGACATACTTGACTGATTAAGGCGTCCTGCAAACCTTTCCCATTGTGTCACAACACGCGCGCACACACACATGCACAAATAATTCGTGGACTGCGGGATTGTTGTCCCGCACCCCCCCATATACACCTTTGTCCAAATTGTCCAACACGAGGAGCGCTCAAGAGTTGACTCAACCGGTTTGCTGCGGAGAACAAACAGGTTTGGTAACCTCAGCGTAGTTGGACTGCATACGAAGATGCCGTGAACACTTTCTCCTTTCCTCAAGTACACAACTCATGTTCAGTTCGCCTTTCTGACTTCCTATGTTGTAACACGACGACTAACATAGTCGGGGCTTTGATGGACGTCGACACAAATTTGATTAATCGTGCTGTGGGTAAAATAGAGGCAATATGAACCATATTTGCATGCGACTCTCGCAACTGAGTGTTCGGACCTCTATTGCACATGCGACAACGATTGCACTGGTTTTAACGCGCGGATCATGCTGTTTTGCAGACAATCCCTAAACCCCAAACCCTATACCCTAAACCCTAAACCTAGCTCGAAACCGTCTTTGGAGATACGTATCTTACGGTTTAGAGCAGAATCCGATGTGAGGCTTCCTTTAAGGGAGGCTAATATTATGATAAGTGTCGTTGAAGGCTTTTCTTTTGGTTTAGGGGATGCGGGGTTTCGGGTTCGGGGCTTACGGCTTGATGTTCTGGGTTTACGCTTCAAACGAGCACAGGAAAAAGTGAGCGTGAAGTTATTTTGCCGACCGCTCACAACTTAAACCGTGCCAAATCCTCGGCCTTCATTTCCAAAATTTGCATGCCACAGGTTCAGGCATCGATATCTTTGCGCTCAGGTTTGAGCAACGAGTTGGGGAACAGTCTGTAGGCCTTCGGATTTCGGAGTGAAGTAAGCCTTCAGGCCAAGCACACAGGATGTTGAAAGTCTGACCAATCGCGAAGAAAGTCAGCGTGCCCAAGAAGCTCTATTGAATCCAAATGCTTCGAGCCTGCCTTCAGACCGAGACGCAACTCAGCAGCAACACCACTTCCATGCGGACCTATGTTCCGAAACGTTAAGGTCTGTACCCATCCGCACTCTGCGTGCTTTTCGACGTCTTCCTGTGCACCTCGAACCTGGCGAATGCAGATTCGGGCTTCCACAAGAAGGGTATCACGATCATGATGAGAAGGATGATAACGATGGAGGTGCTGATGATGATTACGACGAGGACGAGGCTCAAGGCTCAACCAAACACGAGAAAGATGCTCTCTCGGAGTCATCATTGAATTCAATGTTGCAACCATATCTGGGTGGTTGTCAAAATTATGGCCCCTTTTTGGGGTACCCTGAATATTAGGTGCCGTGCTATAATAAGGACCAGAAAAGGGACCCTAATTTTGACAACCACCCATCTAGTACTTGGCGAATGCCACGATGGAAGCTGAAGTACTATGCAGAGGTCCTCGTCTTCGCCTCACTATTACGTTTGATGCGCTTCCATTATCAGCTGTAGTACTCGTCGTCGTAGTAGTAGGCGTAGGAGTAATTAGGAGTAGGAGTAGGAAGTGGTGGAGGGGGAGCAACAGCAGTAGCAGGCTGGTACTTCGACGATGGCGACAAGAGGGACAAGAACTGGTCCAGTTTGAGCGCTTGCGACTTTCGGCTTGGAGCAAGTTTCAGAAAAAGCTTCGATGATTATTCTTGCTATTGGTGAAGGCTTTGCGGGATGGGAGGTTCAAAGGAAGCTAGGTAGGTGTACATCCCGGATTCTGGCTCCAAAGCTTAAACCTCTTAGCCGAAACTCCACACGGCTACTCCAGTTGACACCCGAAGCCGGAAAAAAAAAAACACAATACTATTTAGCTTCGTGCTGAGACCCACTTCTGGGAGAATGCTCAATGACTAAAGCTGAAGGCCTAAGGGCTTTGAATCGAATTAAGGCACCTTAACACATTGACAAATCTAACATCGCTGCTCACCCAAACCAGAACCAGAACCAAGGCCCACAGCAAACAATACACGAAGCGACCTAACCCAAAACACTAAACCCAAAACCCTGAACCCTAAACCCAAACCCAAAACCACCCCTTAACTCCTAAACCGCCTAAACCCCGAAACCCTGAACCCAGTCAATCTTCAGCTCTCGCGCCAGCCCCCGAGCATTGGGCTCTCCCCCTATAGAACCCCCAATAATAGTCTCCATAATCCATTCCCCCATTCCCTACTAAGAACCAGACAGCCTACTAAGAACCCTGAACCCCTATAGTAAGTATAACCCTTATAGTAGCCCTTATAGTATAACCCTTATAGTAACGCTTATCGCAAAACCCTTGAAGGGAACCCTTAAATTTTAACCCTTAAAGGAACCCTTATAGTATAACCCTTATCGTATAACCCTTATAGTAACCCTTAAAGGAACCTTTATAGTTAAATCCTTAAAGGAACCCTCAAAAGGAACCCTATTCCGAAAACCTGAACCCTAAACCCTAAACCCAAAACCCTAAACCCTAAAACCCTAAAACCCTAAAACCCTAAACCCTAAACCCTAAAAACCTAAAACCCTAAACCCTAAAACCCTAAAACCCTAAAACCCTAAAACCTAAATTGGGCTCCCCGACCCCCGCTGGAGACCCAGAAGCGTCCCCGAGGCAAAGTCGTCATCGAAGTCGATGCCCTCAAAGTCGAGGCCCTGAAGGGGTGTAGTTCAGGGAATTTAGGGGCTGAGGGCTTTTTTGTTAGGGTTTGTCTTTTGTTATCGTTTAAGGTTTAGGGCTTCAGTTTGGGGCTTAATTCAGGGTTGAAGGATTTCTAGTTCAGGGAATTTCGGGCTTAGTTTAGGGTTTGGGGTTTAGGGGTTTAGGGTTTATGAAGCCCTGAAGGGTTTAGCTCAGGGAAGTGAGGGTTTAGGGGCTCAGGGTTTAGGCCCATGTAGGGTTTAGCACCCTGAAAAGTGGTGCAGGGAGCTTAGTAATTGTGTGGCCTGAGTCGAAGTTTTGAGGACAAGGATCCTCCCTTTGGGGCAGCAGCACCCCTAAACCCTAAACCGCCCTACAGAATCCCTGTTCGTGGGTTCAAGGAGCAGGGCTTGTTACACCCTAGCTAGAGTACTTCACGGTAGGGTTTAGGGTTTAGGGATTTGGGGATTCCACGTCGTCTGCAAAAAAACCCTGAACCTTACAAGCCGCAACATGAACCAGCAAGCCTAGCCCTCGCCCTAAGGCTCGAAATGGCCCAACATCCTTATATAATATGGTCTTTAGGCCCCAGAGCCTTAAAATGTCAGTCCTTAGAGCTTTAGGCTTGTAGTTGCCTTAAATCCGTATCCATCAGGCCTTTCCCCAACCCGCACACCTGAAAACCGGGTAACCGGAAGACCCCAAAGGACTTGCAGAAGCCTAAAAAAAAGCCTAAAATTCGAGGACTCGGTTCAATTAGAGCTAATAAGGAGACCCTACGCCTTAGGCCCGTAAACCTAAGCCCTAAGCCCCAAAACCGAACATAGGGGCCTGACTAGAAAGAATAGGGTTTCGGGGCATGCTCAGTATAACTAGTAGACGGACGAAGTCAAATAGGTGACCCTTGCTATACTAAAACCCTCCTTTTCTAAAAGCTTACAGGAACCCTAAGAAATATGATTGATTTAAGCCTCCGTGGTTCCCCCCTTAAGCCTACGCCCTAAACAGGCCGCCATGGGAAATACGGGAACCCCGAGCCAGCCTCCGAAGTGGCTGTGAGGAGGCGGAGGCCCGTGGCCAAGACAACGAGGCCTTGGGCCATCTGGTCTTTCGGGTTTAAGGGGCCAGAGATCCCAATACCCCTTAATTAAGGAATACCTAGGGACCTAGGGTTCCTTTAAAGGATCTATATGAGATCTATAGGCTTATAGGGTTTAGGGGATTCCAATACCCCTTAATTAAGGAATAGATACCTTGAGTTATAGAGGGCTTCATATTATGATTTAAGGTATACTCCTTAATTAAGGGGTCTTGGGTTCTCTGGGGGGATTGGGCCGCTTAGCCTCTCTTCTTCAACAACCGGGCCCCAAAAGTTCAAACTTTCTAAGATAGAGCTAGTACGTAAGGCCAAAAATTTTGAAGTTCCCCCGTTCCCTATCTAAGTAGTCCGACTATTTCAGGTACTGCATATAGGGCCCCCCTATATTTTCGGAAGCTCCCAGGTGGACACAGCTTGCGCAAACAGCCCACTGCGGGCACGAGGTGGCTTGAGAAGCGGAGACGACTTCAGAGTCTCCTTCTGCCCGCCCCGACCACCTAGAAACTTCAAAATCCGTTAATTAAGGAAAATACCTTAAGGTTTTTTCGAAGGATCCCTAACAACCTAATATGACAACCTAATATGAGCATTCTCAGTGGCCGTTTGCACTGAACCAGAACCACAAGGTTTAGATCAACAGGGCTTTTTCGACACAACTGATTTTACAAACTTTTAAAGGCAAATAAAAACTATTGAAAACAAATAAAAACTTTAAGAGACAAATACAAACCTGTTAAACAAACTTTTAAATACAAAAAACTTAAAAAAACAGATAAAATCTTTTAAAGACAAATTAAAACTTTACAAGACAAATAACAAACCCTATTCTAATGATCAAGGCTCCGATACTCCTTACACCCTAAACCCTAAATCGTTTTGAACCTTTCCAGGTCCTGAGCACTTTCAAAGCGAAACCCGACCCGAACAAAGGAGCATCGTCGCAGCATCTCCCTCCAAAATTTGAAGAGGTCTTAAGTATCGACTGGCACCAGCTATAGGAGGATTTCAGGCTCTTTGGAGCGGTTGGTAGGACTCTGTCGAGTGCACTCTGCCTGCAAAAGACTACGATTCCAGGCTGTGGGGTTTTAGGCAGCGGGGTTTGAGGGTCAAGGGTGTAATTGGATGCTTCAAAGCTTAGGTGCCGCCCTTAACAACCTAGAATGGATGCTCCACACCGTCACCATCAAAAAAACTTTTCAGGGTTTTAGGACCTGCGCGTACCACACAAATTCCACCAATTCAGAATCTCACCCTAAACCCTAAACCTAGGAGAGCGAAATCTCATGGAGAGTGGATAGCTGCTGTGATCGCATGATGCTCCTCAGTGCCTGGCGTAACATAGTCTCAGAAACCTGAGTGCAGAAGGGCCCCGACAAAATGTAATATGGGGCATTAACAACTGAGACAATTAAGGGGGATCTTTTTTAGCCTGATGATCTTATATAAGGATGACTCGGTGATATCATTCAAAACGAAAATCGACCCTGGAGTACTCTCCAGTGAAATTCCTGTGTTTGTTTGTGGGAACGTACGGTTGGGATTCTCAGGAGGAAGCAAGGCTTCGAAACAAACAGCCGTATAGCTGTGTAATGTAGGGGCCTTAATGTTTTGGGGCTCCTTATTATAATTACAATATAATAAACCCCAAAACCCTATTCTAATTATTAAAGCCCCTATAATACACGGGTATGTCCGCAACCTAGGACCTAGGACACATAGGGACGTGCACGAACATCTGTAATTGCGGTGCAGGGCTCAGCACATGAAACCCGATACCTAGCCCAAATGCGTCAGTCCAAGTGCTTTTACAGCAAAACGACACTTCAGACCCTACATCCCTGGTGATTTTAATTTTTGAGGCTTTGCCGTGATTTAACGCTGTGGGGTCGAAGCCGGGGGCTTTCAAGCAATGCAAGTGAAAAGGGACTCTTAACTTGACATGCTCTTTGACCCCCCAGCTACCCTCTAGTGGGTATTTAGAGCTATTAAGGACCTATCACAAGGGCTCCGTTAAAGGGCCATTGGCTTCCTGGCCGAGTCAGACAGCATCATCTCTCAGCTTGAAGAAGATAGGAGAGTATGGTTTAATCATGTTCAATCACCCTTGTCCTTTTAGAAGTAATAGACAGAGCCCTATACCTATATCCCTTAGTAGGAATTATTTAAGAAGGTCTACTAGCCGGTCTGTTTATTCTTTTGGGGGAACCATGAAACAGGACAAGGTCGTGTTCAATAGAGTAGGGCATTTTTGGTCCAAGTGCACAACTCAAGCACAAGCTCAAACAAACCTTAAACCCCCAGAACAAAACAACGGTCTCGGATCTAGCAGCCAAGGCCGCAGCCGCTCGGCGAGCGTGTCGTGAATTGCCCTGCTCTTAGTATAGACGTGCGCCTGGCGGTGGCAGAATATACGGGAGTTTCCGAAAATGGGGGACCCTAATGTAGTACCCTAAATAGTTGGATCCTTATTATAAGGACCCCAAAATAAGGGACCCCCCTAGTTTTCGGAAACTCCCATAAGGGCCTGGATAGTCCCTACTTGTTGGGTATCATGGGGAATTGAAGGCTAACCTTTTTGGTTGTATGGGGACTATATAGGGACTATGCTACCCAAACAAGGTTAAAGGTTCCCTGCTCTACTACTAGGAGTCAGAATGGGGTGTTGGGGTATGTTTTACTCCCGAAGCATATAGTGTTGGTCATTCTTGAGGCACCTATATTACAGAGAGTTCGAACACATAACCACATCTATGGGGATCGCAAGGCTTAGCCAGGGTTTCTAACAAGTTGAAAACCAGTCACAATTGGAGTAGGTGCCCCATCACTGTTGCGGCGCCTCCCACAGGCCTTGCTTAAGGGTGTTTTGGGTGTTTCCGATAGAGCTTCGTCAAAAGGTCTTGTCTCCGAGACACTTTCTTGTGAACGCTGTCACAGCTCCAAGCATACATATAGAAAGTTCAGGATTTAGGGTTTAGGCAGCTGTCACGTGCAGACTTTGTTTTGGGGAAAGTATTAGCATATCTTGTCTACTTGTCTTGCTTTCGGATTTCGGATTGCGCACGGGGTTTATGGCAAATTTGCGGGATCAAAAAACACGCGTAGCTGGTAATGGGTATACGATATCATAACGCGCCTTGGATCCGCCGCACGGGCTTCAAAAGGCGCGTCTCAGAAGCCGAAACACAAGCAGCGGAATCCCGTGATTGTGAAGTTTAGGGTTTTGCCTGTATTTTGGGGAGTTTGGGCTTGGGATTAGAATCGGGTTTGGGTATCTTGAGCTTTAGGTACAAACATGGCAGCTGCCACACTCAGTCGCTAAGGTTTCAGGTTCAGCTTCGATTGTCAGCCGCCAAGCCTTTCACTCTGAGCTACTACCGGATAGATGCGATTGGGGGTGTACCTGGAAAATGGTAGGTTAAAACCTATAAATAAATCATGTACATAAACTAATAATCGTAGATCAGGGTGAGGGAAATTAGGGTTAGGGGTTTAGGAGTTTCAGGGTTTAGGTTGTAGGTTTTAGGGTTTAGGTTTAGGGTTTAGAGTTTAGGGTAAGATTTAGTATCTAGCGCTTTCAGGGTTTAGAGAACAAGAGTTCTAGCTGCCCTTAGACCCTGAAGCGTAGAGTTTAAGCGGCCGTCTCCGTACTTGTGACATGACAGATCACCTCTCATCCGCCATGCAATTACCCCAAGGCCCCAAAGTAGTTCCTTTTTGGGGTTCGTATATAGAACCCTATAAGGTAATCCCAAAAAAGAACTACTTTGGGGCTCGTATATAGAATCCTATAAGGTAATCCCAAAAAGGAACTACTTTGGGGCCTATGGGTGGCTACTCAAGTGGGGTCAAGCCTCTTCTGTTGCTGCAACGCCTGACGGTCCTAACTTGAGTATTGAGAATTGGATTGACGTCACACCGAGACCCCCTGATCCCCAAACCCTTGGGCTCTGACTGACTCTTGACCCTACAGGGAACTCCAGAAAGTTGGAATATGGTTTCTTGGTAGGATACCCTATAATTTACCATAGAAGGGGTAGGATAATCATATTCCAACTTTCTGGCTTTTACTGTAAGTAAAACCTCAAGCCCTTTACGGTCACACCTAAACCGAAGCCGCATCTTGGATCCTGCAGCTATGAAAGACTGCCCTTGGTATGGGCACTCTCGGCTGCCTGTATGGCTTTGGTCTTAGAGTCTAGGGTGCTGGTAAGAAGGGTGAAGTAACCCAAAAAGATTTGAAGCACCCCTCAGTCTTAGTTGCTGAGTTCATAAGCCCCCCCAAAACGTACACTTTTGGTTTCAGAGTGGGTAATACGATCCCCAAAAGTGTAAAGTGTATCCACTCAGCTACGAAGCAGTTAATACAACTTGCAAGTACAAGCCTGGACACCGAAAGTATGTAGAACAATCGCCTTCTATAGGTTTTTGGGCCATTATTTTACCTACTTTGGGGGGTCTAGGAGATAATCAGACCCTCCGGTCCTCGACAGCCCTTCGATCTCCCCCAAAGCCAGGAAACGACCGCCAACTTGTTTTGAAAAATGTCTGTTGCTCTCCTCAATCCGACTGGCGCCCTGCTGGCTTGTCGTTGGGAACTTAGGGTTCCTGCTGCTCCAGGGCGTGCGGGAAAGTGGGTTTAGGGTTTGGGGTTTAGGGCTGTCGGGTTTGGGGTACTTACTCATAGGATAACCGTTGCAATCCTCGGCCTGGCACATTACATAACCCTGCACCCGAAAACTTACCTTTGGTTAGTAGGGAATGGAGGAAGGGGGTACAATGATAACTACTATTACTACCCATTCTTCCATTCCCTACTAACCAAAGGTAAGAAAAGCATAGATACCAAGCTCAGCAGGGACACTGCGCAACAATCGACCCCTGGCAGTCGAATTGCAGCCTGCTGGGAGACTTTAGAGCCGCCATAACTGCACTTGGGGGGGTTTTGAGGGCTCGGGTGTGTGGGTTTAGTGTTTATGGTCTGGGAAGGTCTAGGGGATTTCGTAGCAAGTAGACTAGCTAGTTGCAAATGCCCTAATTGGCGGTAACCTATGACAAGCTCCTTACACTGCAAGGTGCTCCAGAACATCTGTGGCATCCCGGAATTGTGCAGGTGCAGTTTGGGATTTCCGACAATAAGGTGTCGGTTCAGGCGGTCCGTGATGGCACCCTAAACCCCAACCCCATGAATCCTAGACCCATCGAGTTTTCTATGTTTCGTAGGCATTTTAGAACCTTGGTATGTCTCGAGTTCAATGAATCAGGCGATTGGTGTGTAGGTTATAAACAGAGTTATAGGTACCCTATTAGATTTTCCTACTTATTAGGCCAGACCGTTGGAACTTCATTATTCTCTTGACCGTAAAATACAGTCTAGGGACTTCCAGCAGCAATCATCCTAACTCCATGTTCCAGCTTTCTGGGGTTCACCATAAACGCCACTAAGTCCCCTGGTTCTTTAAGCAAGGATTTGGGTTGGCGAAAGCTGGTCCCGGCCCAGTACTAGGGTTTTGAGCTTGGGGCCTAGGGTTTAGGGGCTAGGGCCTATGGCAGCAAAGGGTTTAGGGTTTAGGGGTTTAGCGCATAGGGCCTATGCGCCTTTTGAGTTTGGGATTCAATTGCGAAGTCGGTCCGAACTCGCATAAAGGTCATCAAGAGCTGTCGGTCGTAGCCCAACTCCGGCCACCCATGAATGAAGCTCTGACACGAAACCCTAAGCCCTCAAACCAAACAAAAACTAGACCCTCTACTTCTGTTGGCTATCAAGCTGAAGTCCTTACTTAAAATTGACGGCATCGCCTCACAGCAGCCGGTCCCCGGAATCGCAGCAGACTCTCTCGAAGCATTTCGGGCCGCAGGAATTCCAGCAGAACATGTACCGCCCAGGCTACCAAAGACCTCTTCTCCCGGAGATAGCAACTTGATTAAGGCTTAGGATTTAGGATTTAGGGCTATATAGGGTTTATAGGGTTCAGGCATCATCATAGATTGTGGGATTTACGCGGTTTTCCCTGCATTCGGGTTTAGGCTCGTTCCTAGATCAAAGCCGCCCTTAACCTCGAGATGCCGTGGTATTGAAAAGCTGCTCACTTCTCACCCGACGATGTGGATCCGGGTCTAGGCCTTATGATACATAGTTCATGTGCCCGAGGGTTTGGGGGAACCGGATCCACCCTTCAATTCGTGTTGCACAGGAAAACAGACATACTGTACATATGCCCTGGGGCGTAAAATTCGGAAGCCGGTGCCGTTGACTCGAGTTGCACGATACCGGGGCCTGCAGCTTCCTCTAGCGGGCTTTGTGCAAGACAATTTGTGTGTACCCATAAAACGGCCTATCGCG